ATTCCCTGTCCCTATCCCACATCTCCGGCAGACGGGAGAAGAGAGTGATGACGTCACACGCCTGGCTGTTGATGGTTCAGTCGGTTCCAGTAGGTGCATTTGACGAGACCCGTGTGTGCAAACTTTGTCGTGCCGCTCTGCCAGGAAGCTCTTATTTGGATTCTGATAAATATCATCATTATATAGCACAATGCCATCACCAATGTAAGTAAACTTAGATAATAGCTGACACAGAACATCCTCACGACAATCTTTGCCCGATTACACACATGCCTGTTGCGGCCACCTGCCGGGAACTCGCCAAATGCAACCTCTTTTTACTCGATCCTTCCACAAGGTAGGTGAATAGGGTATTCCGCTGCAGGCCAACCGGCACCTGAAGAAGAAAAGCATGACTGCTCGATTTGTTTCCCTCTGCGCGCTCATTGGTTGACCGCCACAGCCACGCCATCTTTGGCCAATCAGCGTTCAGGAGGAAACAGATCGGGTAGTCATGCTTTTCTTCTTTGGGTTCCGATTGTGTTGTAGCGGAATGCCCTGTTTGGTCCGAATGCTGCCTAAAATGACTCTCTTTTGCATGGAGAGATATTTTCCGAAGTTGAGTTGACGTTATTAAATTACGTTCCTCAAACACGAGGCACGTTGCTTCAATGGCTATAACCAACACAATGGATACATTCACATTAGTGGACCATTCGGCTTCTTTGTATATTTGTGGACCCACTTTGGGCATTTACAGTAAGAAACAACAGTCGCCGATTAATGTTCAAAACTGTCCGAATTTATTCTTATCCTATTGCCCCAAGTAAGAATATTTATTCCCACCCGCCGTCGTTGGAAGGATAGTGTAGGGATTGGGTGGAATTAAGTCTGTTACCCACAGATACTCTACTCTCACTTCGGTGATCTGATTGTCACAGGCGTTTCCATCATTTTATTTAAAACATTGCACAGGATCGTTCCATGTCATTAACACATTTCTCTCTTGACAGGGAGATTCGCCATATTGCTGGGATTGCCCAGTTTATGTTGAGCATACTGGTATTATGCCTTTGTTCTTTTGCTCCGGACTTCATGATCGAGTACTGGCCAGAGATTAGATGTGTTGTAGTGAATAAGGTATTCCGGAGAACGGGTAAAGAAGAACAGCACGAATAACAAGGTGGCCCGTGATTCGTCGCCCGGTCTCCCCCTCCACTTGAGCGACGAATCACAGGCCCCTTTGTTATTCGTGCTGTTCTTCTTTTCCAGTTCTCCGGAATACCTTATATATTCCGCCGTAAGTACACCTCTATTTCCAACATGTCTTACATACAATGCCTCTGCTACTGATGGTCACAGATACCTTTCTCATTGAAATGACGCTTGTTCTTATTTGTTTCAGTATACAATGCATATACTTCATTCCGTGGCTGTATCAGGTTAAGCGATTAGCAGTTAGCAGATTAGCACTTAGAAGATGCCAATTTAAGGCCATATATTCGCTCTGACAAAATAGTTTTCGATTTTATGAGTGTTTTTAACAAAAAAAAAATCACCGTCGGCAGTACACCGTGTTCGACACACGGCGGGGTATTGGTTTGAAAACGCAGCGACCAACCACAGACCACAGCCTTCAATTGAAACTCGTTGGTTCGTCGGC